GTAAAACAATATATTAACAACTTCATTTCAAAGACAAATAGACTGAAAAAAAAGAGTCCTGCATCAATTACAATACCATAGTTACATGATGCAAATCTATTTGGCTTATACCACAAAAATGAATTTACAAATCAAATCTCTTTGGCTTATATGCAAATCTATTTCTCTTTTCCTTGCGGAACAGCAAGTCTTCTGTGCCCATCACGTAGAGAACCTGCATCACATGCCATTTCGAGCGTTAAAGAAAGAACAGTAGAATGGCAATAAAAAAAAAATACCTTCTGTCAAAACCAAAACCGAGTACCTTAAATGAATTTAGTATTCGGCATTGCAGACCATTGGTGACTTGAATCCTTTCCATGGGCTCGCAGGTAGCACAATGTCCATCACAATTACACTTGTGATACTTGTGAAACTTGCGAATATTCCTGCAAAAACAATGATGAAAATGCTAAGCAGCAGCCGATCACCAAAAGAAGATAAACCACAACATTATATAAATAAATACCTCCGAAGAAAACCTTTATATGTTCCCTTCTCATCTGAAATATTTTGAAGAAAACCACTATAAAAGTAAGCTGCAAAATCAGGGTTTGAAGGAACTACATTTGCTTCAGTTTCATCATTGGGATGTTCCAAAAGCTGTATAGATATCCGTGTGGGGTTGGAGGACTACAAAAAAATAGATTATATGAGTCATGCTCCAGAAAAGACAGCTGCAGAATAAGAGAAGTTTAGGTTTCATATATAGTAAAATCTGACACTTCCTATCCTCTTTAGTTTTTTTTTTTCAAAAAGTACTCACAAGAACCTACACATTCAAATCGGAATAAGTCCCCATTATTAATGACACGAGCATTTTGGAGATAAACCAGGTCATCAAATCTCCCAGGTCCTCTTGATTTTTCATATGCATAGAGCTGAAGAAACTTATTGTTTGTCTCACTTATTGCAACTGCTTTCAGCTGAAAGGACACAAGTAGTTCATTTAGATAAGATTGAAATATTCAAAGACAAAGCCTACAGTAAAATGAGATGTACCTGTTTGACAAGTTTATGTACCAAGATATCCAATGTAGAAAGTATATATGACTGAGGTCCAATGAAAGCAAGGCAGTCATCTTCAAAATTCGATTTGTCAGTAAGACCACCGAGATAACTGTAAAGTGCATCCTTAAATCTGCATTCACATTATATATCAACACATAACTGATTGGGTTGTAAATATTTAGAAATATAGCTTCAATCATTTCAAGAGAAGTTACCTTGCATATTGATTATGATGATTTGCATTGTCCTGATTACTGGACCGTATTTCTGCTGCTGATGAATTTGTCTTAGCAGAGAGTATTCTCTTATACAAAATCTGCCAAAGATGAGATTATAAAAATGAAAAGTGGTTATCTATCTAGCTAAATATAATAGAATTAAAAATAAAATTTTCTAACCTGATGGATTTTAAGAAGCAAATAAAATGAAGTACTGCCATAGAAGATCCTTGTTTGCCTATCTTCATTATGTAACAATCTAGGTGCATGCTCAGTAAGAGGTTTCGATGTTTTCAACTGACAAGCTGAAAATGGTAAGTTTGTTCCCTCTCCCTGAAAATTATCAGCATCATCAGACATCTTGTCAACCTGTACACTTCCACCCTTGGCATCATGATCTATCTCATCCTCTTCCTCATTATCATGAGAGGATTCCTGAACATCATTGTCATCACATTGGCCGTGTGAAGCATCTACAACTGCCTCATGTGCATTTGGGCTGTCCTTAAAAGGCCCTGATGCACTCTCAATGCCCTCGTTTTCAGCATCACCATTCACTTGTGCTTCTGCATCTACCACAAAATCCATTGTCAGTGCTCCAGGACCTAATTGTAATTGTCTTCCTTCTGTACCATCATCAACCAATTTGTCCATCACAATACCCTCAGAATCCACAACTATATTCTCTTCAAAATATACTTCAGGTGATAACTCGCCCTCTTCTTTCTCATCTTCATTGTTACAGACTGCAGAAACTTCATTGTATTGATGAACTTTGTCATTAAATCTTATTGGGTCACCACAAGTTCTGTCGACAACAGATTCCTGATTCTGGCCCCCCTAAAGCACAAATAGAAGATAATGACTCAATTAGAATACATGCACGAATATATTAAAGAATAAAAGGGACCTAGTACTCTGACAGTATCTTCATAGACTTCAATCAGACATATCTCACAAGCAGTTGAATTAGTGAATTATGTAAGAAAGATAAACCAAGTCTGTTATTGACAAGAGGAAATTCACTTGTTCATTTCATTAGGACATTAATGGCAACTAGCGACAAGTGGCCACAAGATTTCCATAAAAACATATTAACAGGTAGTGACTGCAATAGTTAAAAGCAATTGTATGAAGGATTGGGACTAAGCTAAAGATGAACAAAATCCAGTGATTCACCAAAGAGGAAGCACCAGACCACTCTTTTTACACCAAACATGGACCATGTTACAAAATGTGCACAATATAATTGTTACATGATTAGAAATTAAATGTTAGGATGCTCTAGTATAAATCACCTAGGTGAGTCTTCTAAAATTGGAAAGAAAAAAAAAGGGAGCCTATAGATGGAAAAGCATGAGGACCAATAAATGTGCAACAAAAGGGTAAAGCACAAAACAGTAAGGCTATCTAATTTGAAAGAACATGCAAGAACAAAAAGAACATAAATAAGAACATTATAGAGGAATTTGTAATAATACTTGAAAAAATCAAAGTTGATTAATTATTCATTCAAAGTTAATGAACTCACAAACAATACATCAGTTCTCACAAGAAAATCATATTGCCTTGCCTGAGATCTCCATTATAAGCCAAAAGAGTATGGTTAGGAAAAGGTTGATCTGTAACTAAGAAGTAAAATAAAAGTCCAGAGATGAAGTTTTTAGGAGAACAAAGTCAACAATGTCAAGAACAATGCAACACAAATAGAACTAGGAATAGAGACATGAAAGCTGATAACCACATCAAAAAGAACCAGTTGGACAACAAAGTCAGATAAATACCTTAGAGAGCATTGAGAAAGAAGTTATGATATACCAGAAATGACACACTAATGAGATAAATTCAAGGTGACACTCTGAATGGCCAAAATGTAAGATCAGAAGAAGTCTCGATAAGAGGACAATAAAGAATGATCATTTTCCAAGAATCTCGGGAAAAAACATGGCATCTGCATGTTTGAGCATCATTGTGAACTATATAGGCCAAGCTTCATGGGCTGGACATGTACAGAGAATCATAAAAGGCTTCCAAGAATATTTACATTCTTGAGTGATTAAGTTTAAGAAAAAAGATCCAACACAAAGCCCAACTTCTTTCCATACAAACAAGCAGTCTTGACTATCCTGACAACAATCAGCCACCAAAGATCAACAAATAGCATTTCAATATGAAATAGATAGGATGTAGCAGCCCAAGCATCGACGGGTATAAGGACCATCTCATTTCAGGTGGTCTAGTCCACCCATATAAAAAGCCCATGTGATTACCCTAATAGCTTCTCATACACACCACATAAAGCCCCCACAGCCTTTGCCATGCAAAACCGCACACCTCTGCCGCACACACCATGCACAGCTGCACACCTCCATCATGACCTTGTGCTCACCTCTGTGGCACACAGCTACCTACACCTCTTCTCCTCTTCATCTTCCTGCTCCTTCCTCCTTCATCCTTCTTCCTCCATCATCTCCTCTTCCTCAACTTCCTCCACCATCTCTTCTTCCTTCCTCCTCTTCCACTGCCTTTTCATCTTCTTTTTCTTCCTCTTCGAAACACTGGTGCATATCGATGTACCAAAATATGGTATTGACCACCATGTACAGATCTTATCAGATTATTAAAACCGGTCTGATAACCGAAATGGCGATTCTTGACAAAGATGCAAGGAAACCAGCAAATAGACAATATAGACCAACAAATGATAGTTTGTGGAAGTGAAATTCTATACAATATCATTAGTACAAGATAACAGGATCAAATGTTGATATAAAAGTAGACATATGGATCAAATTAGTTGAGAACACAAAATTTGAAGAATAAGCACTTCTCTTGCCATAGCAAGATCAGCTCCTATTATAAACTAGAATTATAATAAAAAATTGACACCCATTCTCTAATGAAAGCTCAGTATGAGCTGACACGAATTGCACGTAAAGAGAAAAAAAGAAAACCTACCTAACTCTGACTGCTGGTAGAGTGAGAGAACAAAGTGTGACATCCCAATCAATCCCATACTGGAAATGGGAAGGGAGTTATGATGATCTATGATTCTAAATAGGCCTACCACTAGTTATAGGATTTTAAAAATTTTGGGATGTGATTAAAAAGCTCATATATCCATCATCTCCTCTTCCTCCACTTACTCCACCATCTCTTCTTCCTCCTCTTCCACTGCCTTTTCATCTTCTTTTTCTTGCTCTTCGAAACACTGATATGTATCGGTGTACCAACATTGGTATTGACCACCACATAGAGGTCTTATCAGATTACTAAAAGGGGTCCGATACCCGAAACAGCGATTCTTGCCAAAGATGCAAGGAAACCAGTAAATACACAATATAGACCAACAAATGATAGTTTGTGGAAGTGAAATTATAGACAATATCATTAGTACAAGATAACAGGAGAAATGTTGATATAGAAGTAGACATATGGATCAAATTAATTGAGAACACAAAAGTTGAAGAATAAGCACTTCTCTTGCCATATCAAGATCAGCTCCTATTATAAACAAGAATTATAATAAAAAATTGACACCCATTCTCTAATGAAAGCTCAGTATGAGCTGACAGGAATTGCACGTAAAGAGAAAAAAAAAAAGAAAACTTACCTAACTCTGACCACTGATAGAATGAGAGAGAGCAAAGTGTGACATCCCAATCAATCTCATACTGGAAATGGGAAGGGAGTAATGATAATATATGATTTTAAATAGGCCTACCACCAGTTATAGGATTTTGAGAATTTTGTGATGTGATAAAAAGTTAATATATCCAAGTCACTAGGCCAATGGGCCTACTGAACCATGACAATCAGTATCAGAGTGGATTATGCATGTGTCATAAGAGAGCTCAAGTACCAAAACACTACCAAAAGATGATGCAAAAAGCACATCAATGCATAGGGCCACCACTGAACTATGGGACTTACACTTTCCGAATAACAAATGATTCTAGAGTGCTACAATGAAAATCTCTCTGTCTCCTTCATTAATAAAAAGACAAAATATATAATATGACATTTTAAGGTGATAGTTGTTGTTGTTGTATCATCCTTTAAGAAATTTCTTGAGAAAAAAATTCAGCAGCTTATTACCTCAAAATTCTCATGTTGTTCTTTGGCAATCTGAGTACAGATGACTGACAGATTTGAAGTATGACCAGATATGAGACTTTCATATGCAACTTCAGCATCAGAACCACCAGAACATTGCCCTGAGGATGACAAGCTACTTCTGTAATCATGTTTTTTGTTTTCTTTGTTACTTTCAGTGTCCTGAAGCTGCCAAAAAACCCCAAACATTGGCTCAAAAAAGGTTGTCCATATATTCATGACCTTGTCGAGTTCACCCTCTAAGGTGCAATTCGCATGGCATGATAATTCAATGATCTTGTACAGAACATCATGTATTTCTGCATCTGTATACTCAAAAACCACCGGGATGAAGTGTCCTCCAGCAATTCTATCAAGAAGCATATTATCGTCCATCTCATTTACTTGTTTACATTCTGCCAACAAAGCTGCAGGGTGAAAATGTCAAACATATGGTTAACAAGAAAGTTTTGAGTACAGCAGCCAACAAAATCACATAACAGAACAAGCAAAGAACAAGTGCAATATGACAAAATAAGCTTTGTCTACCATGAGTTACCCTGAAAAAGTTCCTGAATAATACATCAAAACTGTTAAATATATCAATTGGTAGCATAAATATCATAAAAACTAGTAGTAGCTGCTGTGCATGTTCAGTAAGAAGAGTTATCAGAAATGTTGGATAATTGGCACGCTGAATTAATACCATGCTAAGTAAGGAATTGACTAGATAGATCCTGATCTGGAGTGTAGATGCGGCATGTATACATGTCAGGTAGTAATGATCTCTCAATCAAACCACAAAGTTACAAGGTCACATGAGAACGATACAGTGAAAAATAAACAAATTATATTAACCAACTATGACTGCATCTGTGGTGGAATAAAAGATACTTTATGGAAATATGATTTTAAAACTTAATCAACCTAGTGAATAAGGCAAGAAAATTTTTTAAGCAGCAATGAGTGTGTTAATACTAGCTGTCAAAATGGTAAAAATTCAAGTAGTAGCAAGTGCAGGATAATCTATTGGTCTAGACAGATTAAAATAGGTTGATGAATCAATAAATAGATTTTAATTTCAGTATCAGACTTGGTGATGGTCCCTCATAAACAGATACATTACGAACATACTATATGATACGCTGCTGAAAACAGACAGTATAGATCATGCTACTTGACTTCTTCAGTTTTCCTTTCAATTTTCACTTCTTCCTCCATGTTTGGTTGCATCAAGTTGGCTTTCAAGTCATGGGCATATGTGATACCAAATTTTGTGCTCCTGTGAGATGTTTCGAGACCACTCAAGGTTCAGCCATTATATATTATCTAGTTGGTCTAATTTGTTGTATATCACTGGAAAAAGGGGCAGAAAATGCTGAAATCACCTGCTGGACTAGTAGGTATGGACAGTATCCAACAACAGCATATCTTTTCATATCTTTGTTGATCAATACAACTAACTTTCCATGTGAGCCTATAAACCAATTATGGGCAGTATCCAACAACAGCATCTCTTTCGATATCTTTGTCGATCAATGCTTAACTTTCCATGTGAGCCTACCTTTATCTACTTGCCAAGGCTCTTGAGAATAGCCGATTTTTTTTTTCTCAAACTTCAAAAATTTGTGCCACAATGAAACAGATTCTAAGTCACATACATTGCATATGCTAAAAAAGTAGAGACAGGGGCTATTGGACAGATGAAATAAAGAGCTCGACACACCAAGTACAAAATAGAAACACCTTATAGCACAAAATAGCAACTAATACCATTATCATATATGTATTTTTGAAATAGGTTACATATTTGTTATATTTGACCATATAACTGAATCCAAGACAGACTCTCATGACGTAGAGATTTATGATACTCTGAATTTCCATTACTTCAATAGATAAAGTTAAAGCACTCAAGAAGATGAAACACTTCCACCAGCACATGATCATGTCCAATGTACATTTATTAAAATTCCATTTCAACAGATTTTTGAAAACTTAACACATCGAATACTTTAATAAATAACAATTTCCAGATTCCCAGTTTTAAAAATAGTTCCATAATCAGCCTTCAAACAAAACCAAATATTCTCAAGAGGTGAATGCCACATGATTAAATTTCTAAGAGATATTTATTCTTGGTGTTTGGATACTTTTATAGACTATTTTGAAAAGAACCTGAATTTTAACACCCTGTTAAGATTAAGTCCTATTGTTCTTGAGATAATTAGACCCAAGTTTGTATTGAACTTCTATAGTTATCAACTCAAGATAATTTCAGCTTGCAAGCCCAACACAAATCTGATTTCTAAATAAATCTAACAGATGCTGAACTTCATGTAAAATTCAGTTGCTTTCCTCTAATATATTTCCTCCAAAACTTATAGGAGCATATCTTGTAAGTTTTACCAATAAATAACCTGAAATTTTTATCTTCATGTGTGATCTCTGGGCACATAACTTGATTTTGACCAAATCAACCTCCTCTAGGCAGGTAGATACATCAAGATTTACCAAGAGATAGGCGCCTGACAATTCAAAATAAACTTTCTTCCTTGACTACAGGAACATGAACACCTTGACTCCAAAACAAATGAATTATGTCTCCAATATAAGTTTTCCCACCAGTAGCACCTAAAATTAGTTTATAAAAATACTGGCCAATGATGAAGAATATGACCTCTAATAGCATGATTACATTATGTGGCTTCACTAATTCTCTATAGGTTCTTAAATATGCGTATCAAAAGGGTTCCAAATAGAACCTAGGTATTTGCCTCTAGGCAGATCATAATGGAAAAATAACAACTTTATCAAGAAAGGGGTAGAAAAGTATAGTAAATTGTAAACGACGGTAAAAGCAATATGTTTTATAGATAAGTCGTGGTGAGCAGGCAATCAAAGTATTGCATAGCACATACGTGGAATGAAGCATATGCAGTTCAAGTAAAAAATTTAAACAAAATATTAAGTATAAATTACTACATAATTGCATCTAAATTACTACCAAATTTCAAGTCCTGCATAAAAATTTATAGGATGATATTTACACTCATAAGTATTTAAGTGATGAGTTATAACAAATGATTACATATTTAAGTGGCAAATGCCACAATATCATGTGGATATATAACACTACCAAGATAATACTAATGCAGAGAAATATAAAAATCTATAATGACATTTTCATGTTTATGCAGATCAAATTAGCTATTGGGATTCATATAATAAAATAAATAGAACTTCCAGAAAGTAACAGGTGTTGCCATCCAGGTACTGCATATATGATCAGAACCAATAGAACATGTAAAGAAATAAAAAAACCTACACCTTTTATGGAAAAATTGGCCTTTCACCCCAGCCAAATTTTACTAAATATAGTATAAAAATCTAAAAAGGGGAGGAAAAAAGAAAAAAGGTCCATGATGCATCTAATGAAATCAAAATTACCTTTTGAACTCAGGGTCTTTGGATCTTGCTGCTTAAAATAGAAACTACGATGATCAAGTGATCTCAGATGGTTTGTGGCTTGAGCTTCAGTCCAAACTTCACTAAAATCTGATAGTTTTTCTAAAATTTCTTCTTCCTTCTGCTTTAAACGATTCAGTATTACAGGCAATGCAGAACTCACATTCTCACGTACAGCATCAATAAAATCCAGTCCATATTCATCATATAACAGTTCTATACATCTCAAATCTTGAGCTGTCACATAACCAGAAAAAGAACATGAATTTAGTTTTATTGCTTGAAAATAACAAATAAGTTGGATGCACATTCTGCATATATAGCTTATCACTTGAAAAACATACTAACAAGTAAAGTAGTTTTCAATTGGAATATCACTTTCTGGTTCAACTTTGTCACCCTTGACCTTTAGCAGCATTTCCACCCTCTTAGCAGTTACAGTAATGAGTTTTAAAAGCATATCCAGCTCAAACCTGAATGTATTACAGAGAGTCATATAAAATATTCAAAGTATATATGGTCATAAGAAAGACATTTTGCTTTTGAAAGCTCAGAAAGGAAGATGGATTACACTTATAAGAAATAATTTATAGAGTAAATTTTCTCCTTATCTTTTATGTCACTTGATCATCAGGTGTACAATTAAATTACTTGACTATAGCCAAACTGCTTAAGCTTATGTCAACAGGTTATAGTGATCTTGAGTAATTTGCTTGCAAGAGTATGCATAATAAACAAAAGTACCTGTCATCGTCACATCTGATTAAGCATTCTTCATACTTGTTCCAGTGCATAATCTTAAAAGAATTGTTCTCACTACCTGATGTCATGCATACCAGAGAGTCATTCAAGACAGCCGAACCAATTTCACTCATGTAGCTTGGCGGCAGTATATGACACTGTTAACAGGCAAGCATACGAGATTAGCAGAGGAAAGATAGTCAATTTCCTAAAAATTAACAAAAAATACATGTTTTTGAATAGTACATGATCAGGGAGAATGACATAACCAGGAGCAGAACGGTGACATTTTGAGGTATCAGGCTTTAAATATCCTTTTCCATGATCACATTCTTCATCATCTCCAAACAGATTGTTTTTACAAGGATCTTTGTCTTTTAAAACAGAACTACCTCCAAAGAGCCTTTTTGTATCTCTAATCCTATCATTCTCAGACAATTTTTCCTGCAAACCATCTCCTTCATGATCCATGTCCATTGGTATCTCTTCTTCATCAACTAGTCTAGCTCGATGGTCTTCAAGAGAAAAGACACTGTTAGCATAGGATGACAAACCAGATATATCAAGTGTAACAACAATAACAAAAACCAATATTTTATTTGTCTGCATTGGAAATGAACATGAGCATGTGAAAAACTGTGGAAACCTTGGACACATTTCTAGCATGAGCAATACAAGGCAATAACTGCACAATGACCATGCTCACATGCCATTTCAGCATGATTAGAGAATGCAGAAAGTAATTTCACAAGAGTTGGATTAGCTAAAATGGAATTCAGCCTACAACTTGGCTCCATCAATAACAATATCTGTTGCTAAACCAAAAATGCAAATCATATGCAAAATCAATGCCAAAGTCAACACACTTGTCATGAACTTAGAATCACTCAAAGAATAATAAGCATAGAGCATCTTAACTAGAAGAGTAGATAAAACAAATACAATTACTTTTATATGGTAGCACAATTCAGAACTGTATAATCATTAATAGATGTCAAAAAGAAGCTTCTAAAAGTAAAAAAAATTGCTCTAGTTTATGCTTAATAAATTAATGCGGACAATATTTTTGTATAGGCAAGTTTCCAAAGTATTGGAAATTACACAATAGGTTGCAGTAACATTTTTAAAAAATCAGGGTTGTGCTTCCAAATTAATTAATTGGGCAACAAGTCATGTCCAAGCGTGGCTGGAAATTATCACATTCATTCTTTTTCCAAGGCATTCATCTAACAAGCCAAGCAGAAAACATAGTCCAACCACTAATTCTGAATAACACAAGCACTCACTGAACAAGCAATCTTGCACAAAGACAGAAAAAATTCTATTTTATAAACTTTCTTATCTTAAATTACCTTCACTTTATTTTATAGATTGAGGCATGGGGATTCGTCTTTGAACTTCTAAAATGCCGTATAAGGTCGCTAGTAGACAAGTATGTTGAGAAAGAAAAGAATTTAGCGGTTGAAGAGGTGAACTGGAATCTTGGTTGTGTATAAAATCATAAGTTTAGAACTTCAGATCACGATTAAGTATTAAACAAATTAATTGAAAACCAAACTACAATATCTCACATTTTTGCACTAACAATGAAGAAACTCACAAGTTATGTTCAAGATGCAATTCATGATCCACATTGTTTGTTGATGATAGTTTTAATTATAGAAGGTAGTATAAGGATGAAGTCCAACTTACCCCTAAGGAAAACTTCTATTTTTTTTAACAAAAATACTGTTCAGAAAAATAAAGCCAAAAATTGAGCCAGTTTTGATCAAGGACTAAAATTAATAAGATGGAGCTGAATGTCACTAATCATCAAGTTTACCTTGGACTGGGAGGAAATTTTCTATGGTCGATATAAAAACAGTTCGGTAGTAATAAAAAGAATCAAAACATCTGACAATCGAGACCCCAAAATATTAAGAACATGATTTTACAAACATGAAAATGATTAAATGAATGCAGTGTTACCAGAAAAAGTATCAATATGAATTGATTGTGCTCAGAGAGACTTAGAAGTAGTGCTAACCAAGGATTAAAATGAAGTTTTATTTAATTTTTCTGTGAGTGATAAACAAAATCACCTAATCCTTTCTTTTACAATACTGGTGCTATGCATGCCCTTTGCATGTTAAGCATAAAGAAAGAAAATTCTCGCATTAATCACATTATGAAATATCTTTTTTGTAACTCAATCTGTCTCTATTAAAAAATGTCCTTATCATCACATCTCCATGTTAGGAAAAAGGGAACCAAGGTTTAGGACCACTAACCATGGCATACATGGAGCAAGACTGCAGCAATGATAAAAAAGATGATCATTCTTCTCCATGGCTTTTAAAGGCCAAATTACATATTAAAAAACTTTGAAGCAGTATTAGCTACAGCTCTTTGAAGTTTCAGGTCGATGCAAAAATTTCCCACAACCAACAATTTTGGTGCCATAAAGTAACAATGACTGAAGGGCTTCTCTTGATCCCAAGGATGATTGTTAGAATCATAAAACTGATAAAAGACTTCACAGGAATTGTCTTTTTTGTTTCTACACATTAATTTTGGACACTGCAGGTGTCTATCCTGACGATTCTCGAGCATGATTCATATAAAAAAAAATTCCAACAATTTGTAAGAACCTTTGAACAAGGATAATTAACAAGACATATCTATTAATAAAACCCATAGTCCCCAAATATAATCCTAGCTCTAAAGGCACATTCTATTTTCAACAATTGATCAAATACACGATGGGGCATTGTAAGTAGTAGGGTGGCCTAGTTGCCACAATCTACTGAGATCCAGTCCTGCCATGGATTCATCCCCTAAAAAAATAAAATAAAAAGAAACTAACATTTCTACCTCAATCCTTCAGAAAGAATTCATAAGTAACAAGACAACTGTAAACAGAACTACAGTTACCTTTTCAATAAGTGCAAAAGAAAAGATAAATAATTCAAGAACCAGAAATACAGAAAGCATGACTAGCATCCAGTACAACTCAACTTCATTCAAATCTTAGATTCGAACATAGGTAAACTAACTATATGATAAATTTACTTCACATTTACAAACTATAATTCATGTTTTACTTTAATTATCATGCTTTGAAAAGACAAGGATCTATGTTAAAGATGTAATCCTGAACTTGAATTGTGTGTCAATGTGAGAACACATTAGTTGAATGGAAATAGGTACATTGGAATCAGGCTCATGGTTGATAAAATATGTTAGTGATTTGGTCCTTTATTACACTAATTGGTTTCCTGCAGAGCAGCAGGATGTCCGACAACAGTAGGCAACTCCACATTTCATTCCCAAGAACAGAATTGTAGCAGAAAATCTCTGTATCCCGACAACTGATGAAATGTTCTATGAAGCAAAATGTGTGTAAACTTATTCATTTTCTTCTATTCAAATATGTTACTAAAATAAAGTCAAGGTTCATTTAGAAATATGATCTACAAGATGAGATCATGCATAGCGTCATTTCATGTGCAAGTGGTTCACTATGGTAGTATTTGGTGGTGCACAACCAATGTTTAAATATGATCCATACTAGACTTCCATGTCCATAAGAAAGCGGTAAATCACAAATTACCAACCATTGAGCCCTTTGAATTTCATCTTGAGGCCATGTCTTAAAGTGTGAATTTATTAACTCCTTGTTATAATATAAAAATCATGAATACTATGGAGGATCAGCTACACAAAACTTCTACTAGTTTTCTATTTTCAATAGGCTTAAACAGGCAAGAAGACAGACATCAATTTTATTTTTTTAGCATGCCTAAACAAACAAGGGACTGTAAATATACGATTATAATTAGATATATTTAACAGGTCATTAGACATTTTAGCTTCTGTTTTATGAGAAAAAAATACTCAACTACCATGAAGATCAATCGATGGCACCAAGTTATTCTGTACAAATTCTCTTATTATTCAAAAGAAAAAAGCTTTGTATGTTAAACTGCAAATTTTCAAGTAGCTTCTTCACCTTTATGCGGTGGCTCAGCCACACAGTGATCAAACCTTTGAGAAGGCTTTTGCACTGGCAGTAAATTGTTCAAGTTCTTATGAGTCTCCTTTTGCACCATGCACATCTTGCTTGAGCCTCTTTGGTCCTTACCCACCACAGAATGTCTCTCAACGTATTTTTGACTCTTGCTGTGCTCTAAGTTGCTCAAGTGACAATCAGCATACAAACTGAGACGGCCTTCCTTCTGAAACATCAGGCGGATGCAAGTTTAAGGTTAAAATACGTTTAAGTGCATATATCAGGTTATTTCTACAAAGCAATTCCTACTTCATAAACCTTGTTCTATGCTGAAGAATGACATTAGTTTTGACCATAAGACCAGATATAACTGCTGAAACCATGAAACTTATCAAGCGACAATGTCCCAGTCCCGAAAGAAAGAAAGAAAGAAAGAAAGAAAGAAAGTACCTCTCCGGCAGGAGCATCATTAGAATTTGTTGGCCTTTCTTCATCCTGGGGACTGAAAGGCCTGCTAGACGACACAATACCATAACGCTTTCTTTCTGAACCATGATTAAAAAAGAAACTATACTCTTCAAGCAAGTCATCATGGCCTTGAAAAAGCGCCATTACCTGATAAACAAAAAAATGTCAGAGCTTTCCAGAGACAAAAGATATGGCACGTACCACAAATGAAAAATAAGGTAAACGCAATGAACCTCTTCGTGTACTTGGTCCATGGGCTTGCGATCTGTTCGATGCATTCTGAAAATATCCAAAAACGACGTATACTTCGCCTCATTGTTTGAGAAACGACTCTGCGTGAAGAAAAAAGAAAGTCACAGGAGAACATCACCAGTATCTAAAACAGCTGCAGAAATAAATAACAAGCTACTAACCCGTACTCTGCGAACATGAGCTAGGGCATCTCGGTAATCGGGCTTCTTTTCAGAAACGGAAGGGGCAGGTGCATCCCAACCCTTGGGCACAAAGACGTCGAAGGCAAGGGCCGACTCAGGGAGCCCTGAAATCCTGAGTAACTCCTTCAGTCTTTCCACGGTCTCATGTACGGCGGAACTGCAATCAACTCCACAAGATTGAAGATCAATACTGGCAACTTAAAAGAAGATTTCCGAATCGAAAAGAACGATGGAAAAGACTACAATGTCAAACCTTTGTTCTTTCATATCCACCACGGTATCAAGAAACTCCTCGTACTTGTCAGGATCAAGACCTTCCTTCAACGCCACCAAAAACTCTAGGGCATCGTCGCAACTCACTTTCCGGCGATCAGCGCTGGGGCTTGTCATAGCGGCACCGCGGTGTTGCTTCGATCTGCTTCAAAACCAAAGAGAGATGGAATCTCAAAACGAGACCATAAATTTTGCAACGCCACAGAGAACAACGAAGCAAGACAGAAAGAGAGGAAGCGACAACTCACAAATCGTCCGCAGGGGATCCCGTCGGCTTCCGCCGTTCGACGGAATGATCGGGATCGTCCCCACTCCCTTCCATGCCTATGGACAGTCGTCGTCGGGAAGCCCAGAATTGCAAGCGCCGCAGTCTTCTCCACGACCATCGTACCCGAACATGAGATTATATACAGACGGGGAGGGAGTCGTAACGGAAGACAGAGTTCCCAAACGGGGACTTGCCATGTGCACCGTGATTCGGATCTCATCTAGGACGCTTTGAGATTCTCACAAGCCTCTACGACAGCCACGGAGGGTTTCCGAGTGGTAATCGGAGACAGCTTCCCGCCGCGCGCGCGTGCATCGCGATTCGGATCACATCTAGGACACGTTGAGATTCGCACAAAGCAGCTGATGAGCAGTAGTTAGCGTAGCTGAAGATTTTTTACCATCATCATCATCATATATATATATATAAGCTGGAAATCAAACATAGGGAGGGGTTCGGAACAAATAACATCTTCATTTATGACGATTAAAGATCAAATATTTTAGACATGTTTTGCATGACTATCATATCAACGTTTAACCAATGATAAATAGCACTCGTGCATCGAATAAGTTGATTAATACTCTTAATTATATTTACTAACAATATAAGCCGTCAATATTTGTTTTGAATACTTTTTTTGCGGTCTTTACAAATAATATTTATATAGTATTCGGGTGATACCCTAAGCTTTAGGAATTTTAAGTGAATCATATATATTTTGCTAATTTAATTTATTTTAACATACTCTTGAATTTAAGCTATAATAAGTTACTAGATACTATCGATTTAGATTATGACAGACTGATCTAATATAATATTGGATATGGTAAGAGACTCACAAGTATTAGGGGATGGATGATCGTAGAGGAAGAATTTAATATGAAATCATTCATTGAGACACGTCTCACGTGAATCAAGATATATTTTGATTATGGGTCACGATGATTTCGACAAGACTCAGACTAGTAAATAAAAGTTTATAATACACAAATTTAGGCCCCCCCCCCCCATCAATTCTTCCTTCCTTCCGTCAAATTGGATCGTAAAATGTTGTCATGCGTAGAACATGAAAGTAGTATCGATCAGGTAGGCAAGAAAGTAGTTTCCAAAGATATATATTTATGGTTAAGATATAAATATAAGTAAGCACCAAAGGAATTTTATAATCGATATATATTTGATTTGCAAAGAACATGGCCAGTAGCACCAAAGGAAAGGAGATTAATTTCACTTAACCGATCTCGATGAAATCGATGGATGAAATCGCGATTCATTAATTAGATTAAAGTAACCTTCTCTTTTTATTTATTATTAAGGATAATTAGACTTTTTTTAAACCAATTTTAAATATTTTCTTATTATAAAAATGAAAAAAAAAAAAGAATATGAAGAAGAAGAAGAAGAATCATTTCTCTCCCTTCGTCTTCATCTCGTTGTGCCACTGCTCCGCACGCATCATTTTCCCTATCATATATGATAATATATTCGATGTATATTTATATTTTTAACAAAAGGAACAAATAAAAAAAATCCAACTATAATGCATAATGTTAATACTAGACTCATTCTCAATGTGTTTTGCAAAACCTTGGAGAGAATTCACGGAGTTGATAGAAAGTTTCTAATACCAACTCGTGTTCCTACAAGTTCCAAGGTTTCAAGGTTGACGTCGATCATATTTATCATAGATAATAGTGCCAAAAGGTTAGTATTATTATTAAGATAAGCAATAGCATATTTAGCTTAGAGTGTAAATTAAGTGAGCTCAAGATCAGATATATCAAAACCCCACAATATATTTGGGAGTAGTGGCCACACCCTAAGAGATGGAAGACCTTTAACATCATCAATGTGTTTATACCACAAAAAATTATGGGTGGTATTGATGGTCTTGCGTGAGGCATTTTTAGAGTCCAGAGAGAGTGTGTATAGGTAAAGAGTTTAAAACATTATTAATTAGCACAACATTTGTGTAAGGAAGTTTTCCAATTGGCTAATCTAGTGCGTATTTTGTTAGTAAGATCTTCATGATTTGAAGCAAGAATCTTATGTGATGCAATTTGAGCTCCAAATTTCTTTTAATCTAAAGGCACGATGTTCTATTTGCTCTAAAAGTTAAAAAGATATCATCGAGATATATTATGAGGTTCATATGATAATCTATGACTAAATTTGAGAGGAGTGAGCAGATCCTAGCATACAACATTGTGGTGAGTAATTAATTACACAACTAATATGTAAAGATTTGAATATAAGGGTTCACCTTGCCAGACTCTCCTTCCTTTGGCTTGTAAAAGATTTGGATTTCATTCCATTAACATGACAAAAGAAAATAGGAGAAAAGATGCATAGCATAATCTATTAAATAAAAACAGGTGCAAAGATGATGAGGCTCCATCAAAGGCTTTTGCTAAATTACCAAAGGATTTCAATTCTTGGAGTTATAGAATGAGTGAGCTATTTCTTAGACAATTAAGATGTTATGGATCGAGTTTTAATGAAGGAAAATCTTTAATGAAGGCAGCTTATTAAATAGATAGATAGAGAGAGAGAGAGAGAGAGAGAGAGAGAGAGAGAGAGAGAGAGAGATTTAAGTAATTGAGATGAGGCTTGAGGTGATTTATAATTTACATTGCAACTTTTGCCAAGATCCTATAATTTACATTTGCAAAGGAAAATAAATCTATAATATTTAACATCTTTAGGATAAGAAATCTTGGGAATAAAGATAAGAATGGTTGGGCAACAGGCAATATTGTAAAAAGGATGAAAAGACTTACAAGAGAGATTGACAAAGTAGGATTTTTAGAATTCACTGCTAAAATCATCAACGCTAAGGCTTTTATCATCCCCTAACAAACTGACAGCAACATGTATTTCCAAAAATTATGGGGCAACACCAATCCAAAGAGATATATAATGTTGACTGAAAATTTTAACTGCTCACGTTGACCAGATCTGTGCCCCCAAACTTGGCTCTTCATGCACATGTCCAATGCTTGACCACCTATATTCATTCGACATGACAAGTCATTTACCTTGTTATCCCTGTCCATCGCATTGCAAGCGAAAACTAGACTTGTACGAAGAGCGTTCTCCATCGGATCCCAGCGAAATACATACACACACACACACAAAGCCAACAACGTTCTCCAACTCACTCTTCCTCTCTTTTGGAGACAAGAAAACTAGCCTATAATACATACACCATTCACTGCACCTCAAAAAGTTCTATCAGCCTTTCAAACACAAACAGAACAGTCAATGGCAATCATCTGCTTCGAGGACTTCACCACCAGCATCAATCAACAAAAAGAGGAAACACAATGCAATCAGGTGGACTCTCAAAAATGAGTTCTCAACTCTAGTGCCAAGTAAAATACGAGCAAGTATGCTGTATTTTCTCCCATTTAATCGCATGGCAGAAGATCACAAAATGGGTTCATAGCAATGGACAAACTCCTGCATTTGGCCGCAGCACAAGCACAAGAATCAACAAGCACCTCCAGGAAATGGCCACATCTAGGTTCAGTTTTACCAACCGTGGTTTTCTATCAGAAGGTAGCTATTGTCCACCGAACCACCTTCTACCTTTCTTCCTTCTACGTTAACCACCATCTCTGAACTGCAGATATGGGGCCGTTTAAGAAAGAAGCATAGCGATAGATATATGGACTCACAGTCCGACCAATCCTCACCCACGCACTCTGATGATAACCAGCAGTTACAGGAACATGGTACATGAGCTTCAGCAGCTGCGATTACAGTCAAGGAGGAGAGAATTAGTCAAGATGGAATACACCGATAACAAGCTACAAAACTTTGATGGGAAAAAAATTATCAAAGGTGAAGGCGGGTTGCAAAATATCCATTTGAAACCATTTTCATATCCACAACGGGCCGGATATGGCTTTGAAGTGTGTGCCCATCTGTATCCAACTCTGCTATGAGTCTTAAAAATACAAACATGGGGTTCGATTCTATCCTTATTTGAGTATCCAAACTTAATCAATCTATACTAACCTAAGGAAGTTGTTATTTAATTGATTCTTTTTATATACAGTTTTCTCTCTTTTTCTCCCAATCCTTTTCTTTCACATTTATTCTAAAATTTTCCTTTCCAAAAATTTAATGATTGATTGATTTGAACTCTTTTCTTAATTATCTATCGATGTCAGACTCAACTTATGTATTATTTCCATTGCATCAGCCCAAAATGCAATCCAAATGCAAGTTGTATATCCATCTGTATCCTTGTCCATTTTCAGCAAATATGCATATAGAATTTAGTATTTGTTTACATCTGTATCTAAATCACTAAAGGTCTGCTGACAAAATAGCTATGGTTTTTTCTTATCAAATCATATTGATCCATTTTCATCCCTAGTACCAGTGAAGAGACCAATAGTTAGGGTGACAGCTGGCTGTTTGGGTTTATGGAGGACCATCTGCATCTAAAAATGAATGCTGACAAACTAGATACGGGCTTTCCATTACCAAGTCATAGCAATCCGTTTTCATCCTTAGTATCAGTAAAGAGATATCTCTTGCCTACCAATCCATTCAGAACAGTCATCTTTTATTCTGTATGCTTGAAACACAACCCAGATTAAAAATGCAGCAATAAGACCATCAAAGTAATTGAACTAAAATAGTCTTGCTGCCCATGGCATTGAACTTAATGCAACTGTACATAGTTCTAAAAGTAGTCTTGATCGGTTCTGCATTGTTATAGCCAACAGAACTAACCTGCCAGTATATGAATGTCTGAATAATATTGCGCTGCCACCTGCATCAGCAAAATTTGAAATTCTATGCATCAGATCTTGAAAAGATTAAAAAGTAGAAACAACAGAATAATGTAGATCAACCGACGAGAATAAGGATATGATTAGAAGAAAGCCCAATCCAATCTCCGCGTTTGAACTTAGAATGTTCAATGTAGTTCCATTTGCCTCTACCCACGAACAAGGTTCCTCCAAGTATTTCCTGTTCATGAAATGAGTAACCATTACTTTAGTTGATTATTCTTATCATTTATTCTGAAGAAGCAAGTAAAGCACTTTAGAAATCATAATCAAATAATAAAGTATGACTATTATTTGTATTAGATATAAAGATTTAACAACTAGTCCCATACTTGTGAAGAAACTAACAAAATTATGACAGATACATCAAATATAATGTTCCTATGTACAGTTTGATGAACATGAGAAAATCTTTGTTCATGCCACTGTAGATAAGACATTATTTGAGTCCATGAACATGAGAAACTCTTTGTTCATCATGTTGTAGCAAGAAAGAGGAATTGGAAAAGCATAGCCTTGCGCAATGAAAGTTAAAGAGCAGGCATGGCAAAGGCTCCAAACTTTGTGCCTACAATTGATGAGCTCCACCGTACAAAAGGTTAAATTGTATATAATATATTAGGTTTCTGCAATTATACTTAAAAAGTGCTTTCTGGTGGAAAATAAACTCATTTTATGATCCAAAATGATATCTAACCTACTTTGTTTTTTATATTCTAATACCACAATAAAAATATGTCCTCATTGTTAATACAAGTCTCTGATTGATTATCACTATTTTCATGTGTTATAGTCTAAACGTAGCAAAAGTTTTAACCAATTATATCCACTGTTCAACTATCAGAAGTCGATGATTTTTTTATTTTCTATTTTCAATGAATTATTCTACTGGTTCCAGTATATAGCTCAATGACAGTATAATTACATGTTTCTATGCTTCAAATAAGTATTTGAACTTAATTTAGTATAATAATATGTTTAACAAACAAATAGTTACGTTGGGCTTGAGAATATACAAATTGCTAGGCCTTTTTAGCAACAAATGAATCAGGTCATCATATTGTGATCATAAATTTTGGCATGTCAGCATCAAAATGATGCATGCCAATAACAAGTATGCTCTGCTTGCACTACAAATTTCAATGAAAACTACAAGTGCATTCAACAGACACCTGCTATATATCAAGGAAATAACTCTCAAAACATTCCGAAGCTTGAAAATAACCACACTAATTGAGATGTTAAATGCATCACCAAAATTATGCTGTAAATGTTTTAGTACCACATGATAAATAATTTTTGTATGCAATTAAGATATGTTTAACATAATACTCATCTGATAGAAAACTAAGTTCAGACTAGAGCTTTGCATACAGCAAAAACATAAACCACAATCAGGAAATTACTCCCTAGTAGTCTAGTATTGTGATTAAAATAGTGAAACTTCCTTGCTGATGTGCTCGTGAGCCCTTATATCAATGATATTTCTCTTATAAACAGCATGCAGCCAAGACATGAGTTCCCACCCAGTATCTAATATCATCCATGTCTATTCATGACCTTAATACATGGGAAATTACTGCTCCTTTTCCGTCTAACAAGCAGAAGACAATTGAAGCTCCAGATGAGGTTAAAAAAATTGAAGAACAATCAAGCAGCTTATCCACTATTGTCTCTGGCAAGCAATGTCTCAAACAAAAACTTATTTACCTGTATAAAGAAGAATGTGCAAAATTACGCCTTAGAAATTTGGCCACATGCTCAAGAGCCCAAGAAAATACAGGTATGAGAGCAACTGTCAAGCAAATTAGCATTAAAGGATCCTAATCAACATCAAACCATGACAATGACTCAAACATTATGTAGTTCCACTAAGAAGTTCAAAGAACAACAAATTCAAGTAACTCACATTTAAAGTGTAGCTGTGATGTAACAAGTGTAATACAATATATCAAATGAATAAAATCCTTTGCTCCGATCAGTGTTTGAAACCATGTTTGGATAGCAGGGAGGTTCCATGCCCTCGGTTTCTGTAAAGGGAAAAAGATAATAGAGGATAAATATGTAATGGTAAAGTGTACCGCTTGACTAATGCAGCTAAAACCAAACTTCATGATGCAAGGTTTTAAACTGTAATGACTCATCTAAAACTCACCCCATAGAGAGTGTATAATGAATAAACCGAGGAACAAGTAGTACCCAGCAACGACAAATGATATGCCCTGTTTGAAAGATTTCTTGGCAAAACTGGAAGCATCCCAAGCACAACAACCACTAGTACCTGATACGAGCAAAATTCAATAATTTACAGCAGATGAACAACAATATGCAAAAAGCAACTTAATAGAGTAAAAAATAAGCAATTTTGTCATTGTTCCTTATAAGGCTTGTAGAGCATCCAATCAATTCTGTTTGGTGAGATAAAGACTGAGAACTTCAACTTCTACACCATGCTTTGGTGGGAGCCTTGTGCATTGGGCAACACATTTTAGAAGATAACATTTAATGCCACGGTAAAGTAGCTCATTTATATGTGCCCATAATGGTGGCAGAAGCATTTTCACAGATAAACACAATTTTGAATTAATATGAACCAGGTGTCTGCAAGGACATTTTTGACAACAAATAATTGAACACAAGTGTACAGGAACAAATACCTGATTTCGGCTTACAAGCCCAAGTTCTTTTACAGAATTAAAAGGACATTATCAGCTTCTGTGAGAAACATGGTATCAATAATGACAACTTAAGGTTCACCTGCTCTATGGTAGAGACCTTAGAACCTTGACAACTATGGTATAGTAGAACCAAGTTAAAACTTAGAAAAAGCCCACAAAATGTTCCTAAGGAAACGTAAGCCAATGTAAATAATTTCTATTTGATCTCTCTCTAATATAAGACAGTTTATGAGCCCTGTGGATCAGAATACATGATCGGCCATTGGTTGATCTCCAAAAGTGAACAGAGATTACTAATCAGGAACCCTATGGCCTATGCAAACACAAACCTAGCAGTCGGACCCATACCTCATCTAAGAGTCCTACAAGAAGCAATAGGAGAAATATAGGAACAAGAAGTTTGCCATAGTTTAAGGAAGCCCACCTACCCAATGATTTAAAAAGCGCTAGGCGCCAAGGTCCAAAAACGCCCGAGACGCTAGGTGCTCGCCCGAGCGAAGTGAGACGCTAAAATATAAAAATATATAATATAATTAATAAATATAATTATTTAAATTTTTAAATAAAAATATACTATTAAATTAATCTAATAAATACAAATATTATTACTAGTATATAGTTAACAGTATACAGTATACTGTTAATAGTATACTGTATACAGTTAACTGTATATAACAGTATATTGTATACTATTAACAGTATACTATCAAAAGAGGAGAAGAGTGTAAGGGAAGAGTTGGAAGACCAAGGGTGTTGACTGAGAAGAGCGAGAGCGGCAGCTGCGAGCGACGACAGTGGCAGCGACAGCGACAAGCAGGAGCGGCAAGTGACGACAGCAGCACCGACAGCAGCGGGAGCGGAAGCGGCGAGCGGAGACAGTGGCAACGATAGCAGCGAGCAGCGAGAGCAGGAGCGGAAGCGGCAAGCGGAGACAGTGGCAACGATAGCAGCGGCAGCGGGAGCGGGAGCAACGAACAGGGTTAGGGTAGGGGAAGTCACGTTGATATCGATGCTTTAGTTAGTTCGATTGAACCAACTAAAGCACCGAAGACCGAACCAGACCTCAAATGCTGGTTCGGTCGCCTGGTTTAACCCAGGCGCTCGCCCGAAGCGCCTGATGCCTAGGCTCGGGCGAGTGCTCAGGCGACGCCTCTTTGAAGCGCGCCGTCTGGAAATGAAGCGAGGTGCTCGGGCCTTGCCTCGCCTCGCCCAAGCGCCTAGGCAAGCGCCCGAGCGCCTTTTTAAATCACTACACCTACCTTCTTTGTTATTCGCCACTCCTATGTAAGAATGGAGCTAATAAAAAAATCTTTCAATCAGGTTCAGATAGACCCTTAAGATCTTGTGAACAACATTACTGTTCATTCCATAATTTTTCTTTCTGCAGGATAATAGAATATTTTGCAATGAAAACTAAAGTCCAGCCTTGGATCAATGGAGATAATTATTTAACTGTTTCTTTATATTCCATTGGAACTTATAGGTAGTATAATATAGTCCAACGAGGACATCAAATGAGACTCCTCTGATTGAAGCAACGATGATATTATTCATTAATTAGCAGCCAATTCTGCAATGCCATGCTAATTGCACAACATGGTTCTTATTCTTATCAATGGATCCAAATCCAGCAGCTAAATCAGCAAATATCTAATTTTGCAGTCCAAGAGTTCCCCACAAAGACCTACATAAAACATGAGAAATAAAAAACACAAAAAGCCTTGACATTGACAGATAAGGAATAGAACTAACTGAAGTCTTCATGACCATTTGATAATGTCAGGTAATTCTCTATTTATCATATTAAAGTAATACCAAAATTTCAAAGATTTTGTGTACTTTCTGCCCCTAAAGAGAGGGCTGTTCAGGTGTGGATAACTAACTAACTATGAGAAAGTATACCAGTAAGAATTGTCAGTATTCCAGAGGCTAAAAATCCATGAAAACATCTAGAAATTATTTAGATCTTCGACCAATATTTTGATTTTGATAGAACTGTGACAAGTCCAAGAGCCTTAAGAGTTTATGTTTCTTGTATAATCAATCCATGAACAAAAATCTCCAAGATATTTAACACACAAAAAGAGGGGTATAATAACTGACTGATGAAATTGGAGCAAGTAATTTAAGGTGTGCTAGGTTAAAATCCTGCTAGTATATTTGACAAGTTTCAAAATGAAATATATAAACTTATGCAGTATTTGAAGTACTAGTGAAGATATAACAGTTTCATTTAGCAAGAGTGCTTGCGGAATATCTTCAGCACGAAACAGCAATATACATACAAATCTTCACAATTAGAGGACAAATCTGAGAGCCTAAACAAATAAGTAGTAGAAATATCAAATATGTAGTATATGGAAAATTAAGATCAGCATGAAACACTTGAAAAGAAAGCAACCAATTCTAGCAGTCAAACACTGTAATATCATTGTATTTTATGTACAATTAAACAGGAGAGAAAGTAAGGATAGAAAATGTTTTATATACCCAAGCATTGGCAGAAAAATGTATAGATCGTTGATATAGCCTCGATGAATTAGCATTCCTGCCCATTGATGCAGCTGTTCCAGTACTTCCACTACCAGACCCTGCACCACATGCTTTAATTTTGGAGATATATTTTCTTTTTTCCAAAAGCATACTTAAGATATATTTTGTAAAAATCTGAGAATTTCTAGTCAAATAATAAATGAAAAAGGTTTTTTCTTCCTATCCACCTGAATTTTGTGACCTCACATTCTGAGCAGCTGACTGAGATGAAAGTCTATCCGATGCTCTTGATGATTGAGCTGATTGTGACGAAGGTCTGTCTGAGGCTCTTGATGACTGAGACGAACTAGTTGAAGACATTGCCTCCACAACCAGGTTAGGATCCTAGAAAGCCAATTATGATATCAGAACATAAAAAGACCAACTGTACAACTGGATTCTGGACACAACTTGCAACATAAATTGAATTTAAGAGAAACTAAGAACCATCAGAACCAAAGTAATAGATATATAGCTTCAGTTAAGCCAAGATTACCGAAATATAAACTTAAAAAAGTTATGGAAACCATCCACTAAAACAGGTAGAGTTCCTGTCTTGGATAAGTTTAATCATTTAACTGGAAGAGAATCTTTGTTTCCCCAGAACACCAGTCTGCATTATTTTCATGGGCATCTCAGATTCAGAATGGATGTGTTAATCCATATTCAATCTGGCTTTATAAACTTTGATTACCAGCAGGCCATCAAGATGCCAACATGTGTCCAAACCCACTAAAAGGTTGTCAAAGATCTCGTCCATACTGCTTAATTCCTCGGAGTTTGAAACACTATGTCTGAGAATAAGGCTGCATTGGAAACATAAGGTAGCGGAGCAGCAGGCAATTGACATTAGAAAAGGTCGCCTGTTTGGTGATAAAAAAGAAATGTTCACTGCTAGAATTAGCTCGACTTAAAGAGAGCTGGTTGCTTGAAAAAGGAAAGTTAAAATTTGTTGAAGCTGGATGCCCCTTATTTCAGGAAAATGATGCAGGAAACATACTGGAAGTGGTATGAGCATAGTGCATCATTCTTGGATTCTAGATATCTAGGTGGCTCTACCCATTGCTGAGCATGTATGTATAAGTTTCTGAAGGGCACTTATGAAACACACATGCATGGATACATGTGTGTTTAAGTGCATGAATGTCTGCCTTGTGTGAGAGAGAAGGGCAGAGAAAGGAAAGAGTTTTAACCATTACATGGAACTGAGGAAGAAGGGAAGAGGCAAAGAAAAAGAAAGAGTTAAGATAAATCAATAGTGTCATAATTTGGATTGAAAGTAAAGTCAAATAAATTGTTGAAACAGAATGACACCAATATGGGGTACATCCTATCACCACAAAGGTTGGCGAACTAGGACATTATTGTATGTAGTGGCTAGTTTTTGTTCATAACCATCTGAATCAGGTCCATACCAGATCTTTGTCAAACATGGTTTGTTGATAAGTGCAACCATATATATTTCATGCTTCTGATTCTACATAATGATCATTAGATTGGAAGCTAAAATGCATCAACACTTCAGCAATCAAACATGACAAGAATAACCTCAGCAAATAACATAACTTCAATTAGATGCCACTTTCGATTTCATCCTGGTACCTGTGCTGAGATCTCATCCAAACAATATGAGCTAAGAGGTAAAGTTAGTTTGATACACCTCAACATGCCAATGTTTAAAGACACTAGAAAATTGATAGACATGTTGATACAGTTGTAAACTGGTAATACCAGTAAGATATAGATCAGGATAATATGGGTAGCATAGAAATCATATGTTATCTGTTAGGAAAAGAGTCGGCACTAAGAGGGGGGGTGAATTAGTGCAGCAGTAAAAATTACGTCGGTTCAAAACTTAGTTGCGATTAACTTACGTCCGACGAAAAACCGTTTCGTAAAGGTATTAACTTTGAAAGCGTACGGAAGAGCGTAGTGGATGTAAAGCAAGTAAAGTGGTATGCAGTAAAGTAAATTGCACAAGAGAAACACAAACCAGAATGTTTATAGTGGTTCGGTCGTCGTGACCTACATCCACTTCGCCGATTCCTCTTCCGTCGAGGCCACTAGCATCCATTATCGGTCTTCTTTCAATGGGCGAAGACCAACTACCCTTTTACACCCCTCTTCTCCTTTTTACAGGTTTAAGAAATAACCTTTTATAACCCTCTTTTACAAAGTATCCCTCTCACACCTCCCTTAGAACTCTCTCTAAGTTTTGGGAGGGAACTCAACTTTCTAAGGTTTACAACTTTAGAATCACAGGGTTTTGCTCAATATTTCTTCCTAATCCATGCAGGAATAGCTGGAGTATTTATAGGCCCCAAATGGATTCAAATTTGGAGCCTAAAATTCAAATCCCCGAAATTTCAGGGTACGGGCGGTACAACCGCCTGCACTGGGCGGTACCACCACCCAGATTGGCGGTACCATCGCCTGACACAGTCTCGGAGACTATGCCACGACGGTTTCACCTGTTTGGTCACTGTTTGGGCCTTTCTCTTGGCCCAACTATCCCCTAATTGGGTTGGCCCAATTCTAATCCTTATTATGTGCTAACTACGAATTTTAAGACATTTACTAAGCTAAACAAAGTCCGTAAGTCTAGGTTTCTTCCAGCGATCTTCCGGCGAACTTCCAACGATCTCTCGGCAATGTTCCAACGGACTCCCGGCAAGCTCCTAGACTTTATGATGATCTTTTTGGCGAGTTCCAACGAGCTTCTTTGGCAAGCTCCGGGACTTCTCGGTCAATTTCGATAGAACATCCGACGAACTCTCGAACTCCCAACGAAATCATGTTCTTGACTCCGGGACTTCATTTTGCTTTATGTCTTGCTATCTTAGTTAATCCTGCACATGTAAAAACACACTTCGATCTAGACAATTATTACTAAGCATGAATCATGTTGTCCGACATATCATTGGTCCATCGACGCTTCGTCTGATTCTTTGACGCTTCGTCCGATTCTTCAATACATCGTCCTCTCTTGTGGCCTATTGCCCAATCAGCCAGTTGACCTCCGTAACTCCGATATCATTGGCGTAATTTCTGCTCTTCTTAGCCCGATGCCCGAATCCATGGTCTGAAGCCTTCTGTCGATACGTCATCCGATCCTTCGGCTAGACGGCCAATCTTCTGACATGTTCCACCAGCCCAACATGATTCTTTCTGCTTTAATTATCTCATCCTGATCGAAGCATCCCGCGTCACTCAAAACGTAGATCAATTCATAAACACTTTCAATTTGTTTCATCATCAAAATCCAAGATTCAACAATCTCCCCCCTTTTTGATGATGACAACCTATTGATGACGGAGTTTAAACAAACTCCCCCTATCAATATGTCATATTAATAGAGACTCTTGGATTAAAAAATCCAAGCAATATGTTATCATAAACTTATGCATAACATCATACTTCTCCCCCTTTGTCATCAACAAAAAGGAGAAGTGCAACTAGCAAGTGTTTTTAGACATCCAAGTTCAAATCATTGCATAATAAATCTTAAGTTTTATCATCATTGCAAGCTAGTAAAAATTTTAAATTTTACATCATGTAAGCTAGCAATATTTAAGATGTTCAAAAAGGCAACTTTTGCTTCTTGAAATATGCAAGTTAGCAATCTTTGCTTCTTTTTTGAGATAAGCAAGTTAACATGTTTTTGCATCTTCTTGACTTGTGCAAGCTAACAAGTTTGCCTCTTTTCATGATGTGCACGCTAGAAATTCTTTCTCCCCTTTTGTCATTGGCAAAAAGAGAGGAATAACAAAACAATGGTGCAATTCATCAATTTTTAAATTATGATAAAAATAAAATATCATTCTTATTTCAATATGTCATAATTGAGATAAACCTTGAATTTAAATTTAATTCAAGTCAATGCAATTTTAATCATGATTCTAATACATGATATGCAATACATCAAATACATCATCATAATAAAATCATAAGTATTGCATGCATCACTTTTGAATAGGCTAGCAACTTTACTTCCTAGAAAGTTTTTCTCCTTGCAATTTGTGAGCTAGCAAATTTTACACATGAAAGTTGGCAAAATTTTTTACATCTTTTGGGATGAGCAAGCTTTTTACTTCTTCTTGAAGTATGCAAGCTAGCAAAATTTCTCCTCCTTTATCATTGTCCAAAAAGAAGGAAAGAAAATAATTTGGTAATTCTTTTTCCCTTTACAATAATTTTCAAATCATGACAAAGGTAAATAACGAAAATGAAAAATCAAGTCATGAATTGCAAAACAATTTTTTTATTATGAATATTTCATCATTGCATGCATCAATATCATAAGTTGAAGTATTGCATGCATAATACCAAATCACCATTCATAATTATATCAATATTCTAGTCATTATTTCAATCATAAAAAAATCAAGTTATGAATGTCAAAATCATAGTATTGTATGCATTCATATCATCACATGAAGAATATCAAGAAGAACTTGGTGATGAGATATACTTCATGAATACAAGAAATTTTACATAATAAAATTCAAGTCATAAACCTTAAAAGATGTCAAGTAGCATATCATTGTTTATTAGAATAAGTCTTCTTTTTGGTGAATAGCAAAAAGAATAGTAGGAGAACAAGATCTCAATTCATGCATATCAGTAGATATGATTCACTTTGACAAATCTTATTTTTAGAAAATAACAAAAAGAAACATGGGAGTTCAAAAATAAGATCTTGATTCATAGAAAAATTTTAAGTATCAATATCAAGAATTCAAGATCATAATATAGATGAACACATTCTTATAGCAAAAAGATGTCATGAGAGAACACATAAATGATCTCGATTCATATATAATATCTCTCAATTCATTATGAATTATAAAAATTATAATTTTAAAAAATCATGATTCATTTAAAAAATCTCCTCTTAAGAAAACACCAAGTAGAATCATAGGAGAATGATAAAAAAAATCTTGATTCATAATAAATCTTAATTTGTAAATATCAATGAATCAAGATCATGATTTGGATAAAAAAAATTTATTCAAATTTAAATCATCAAATCATCAAAATCACTTTCATAGTTCAAGAGATTCAAAATAATATAAATATGTATTTCAATCTCTTATTCAAAACTCGATAAGATAGAGATGTTTCATTTTAAGTTGTTGGTTTCGTACAAGTATGCCATTATCATTTTATGTCAAATAAGAACATGCATAAATCGTTTAGGATCGAAAAATAAATTTCGTCATAAAAACCATCAAGATCAATAAACCAAAAATCATTATTTCTTCAAATCATCATGCACAAATTCACATTAAGCATGATATCAAACCTCTTAATATTTTCATTAAGACATCAAGCATGGTTTCAAT